AAAAATTATAATATTATTTAATTATGTATAGGAATTAGGCATATATACTGATCAGGTCAAGCRTGGAGCTTTTTTAAATGACAATCTAGACCAACAAAGAGGGGCCTATTGATTATCCATGCGTAGGGCTGTCAATGGACTGCATATTGATCCAATCCAATTTGGTCCGCTATGAATCCATTACAAATGGATCAGGTCTAATCCAATATGATGGTTACTTTGGGTCATTCTGGATTGGCCCAATTCAATGTTTGGCTGCTGAATCTGTTTAAATTAGGTGTATTTTAGATTGGGTCTAACCCAAATTTGGTCCTTTGACACTTGTACTCCAGTTATGTATATTCAGTCAGTGGACCAGATATTGCTTGTTCAGTCTGACCAAATTCAATATAAATCCATTACAAATGGACCAGATCCAATCCAATAAACACTTTGGACCATTAAGTCAGGATTGGTCCAATTCAATATGTCTTATTGGGCTGTCATTTAAATTGATTTTGATTCGAACTGGGTTGAACCCAAACCTGGTCCCATTGTTACCCCTAACCATGTGTTTCAATTAAAAAACAGACTATTTCAAAATAGAAACATTTTTCCTCCAAAGTGGTGAATCAATAAGTCAAATTATTTTTCCAACAGATAAAATAGTCGAACCTATGACATCCCAATCAAATAATAAAAATATAAACATGGATTAAAATACGTTAATGTGTAGAAAATAGATTAACATCTTTAAAAATATACTAGTGGGGGGTGTGCAATGCATGGGATGGGACACTCCTCTTTGTCCTTTGCCCCAGCAAGTCAAGACACTCTCCTCCATCCCTACTCCGACCCTAGTGGTGGGATAGGTTTGGGGTGAGGCACTCATTCCCCATTGGAGATGGGAATGAGGCTTGAGCTCAGTTAGGTTACACCAAAATTTGGGACAGATTCAAAGAAAAATTGGGGTCTGCAAGATTAAAGGCCCAGGTTAGGTTGTACGTTAAGAAAGTCATATACTGTAAAAAGAGTCTTGGGTGTTGGACAAAGAGGAATTTACTTAGGGCTGGCTGAGGTGGGCCTGAAGACTTTGCGTTGGAGAGACCGTTTCTTATTTTGTGCCGAAGCAATTTACAAAGCACAAGCCGAAACAGGCGAAATCAAAGGACATTATTTGAATGCTACTGCAGACATGTGAAGAAATGATCAAAAGGGCTGTATTTGCCTGAGAATTGGGAATTTCTATCATAATGCACGGCTCGCAACAACTGATTTAGGGAAAAGGGAGGGCTATTAATGGTGCATGGAGAACTAAATATAAAAAAAGAAAACAAAATCACAGAAATATGTTTACCGAGGTGGGTGTGAAGGCCATTATGTGAGGAGGAAATCCAGATTCATATTGRAGACTTGAAAATCAATTAGCTGGCTGACAAATCAACTGGTCCAACCAGATAATTCAACATTAGATTGAAAATATTGGTTTGAATGTGTAATCCACACTGTCAGCCCATTCCAACCTTGAATAGGAATTGTATTTGATCGACATTAACCACAGAATTTTTATGTTATCTTCAGGGATGACGAGTGGATTTGGATGGGGGATTATTCTCAACTACAAACAAACTTGCCAAATAGAAGTTTCTTATTGGGTTTAACTAGAACTCAGAGAAAGGCATGTATCTTTGGAAGTTCATTCGGTGAACAAA